AAGGAAATATCGCGCAGTCCTTGAGCCGTTTGTTATAATACTGCATTCGAGTGGTGTTGTTCGGAGAAACCACGCAAAACTAGGCGACCGCTCTCCTCCAGGCAGTGACTGAATTCGAATGTCTAGCTTGTGTCGAAAATCCTGCAACCGCCGGGACCCGAACTTTAAGACCTCCTGGACAAAGGCACTGCAGTGGCATCCTGCGTAACCTTTGCCGGTCCCAACATTACGGAGATCCTTAGTGACCTGATATCCTCCATCGCTAGGTGGTCGTCTTGGCGTTACCCTAAAGAGGCAGGAAGGGTGGAGAAGGGGGGGGGTAATTGTTACCGACGTTCTTTTGTTTGCCGGGGGGAGAGGGGCGTCAAACGCTGCTCGCCTGTCACGAGACTCTCTGCGACCAGGCTGGGCTTTTGTTTAGAGAGCGCGGCTCGCGGGAAAAAAGCTATAGGGTCATAGCGACGTTAATTATCGGAAGCACCGTCTTTTTCAATGCGCCCTTTCTATCGATACATTTTGGCCACTGAATTTCGCGGTCTGGCATCAAAAGCGAACTTCAGAGTGGCAACTATTCACGGAAAACTGGACGTCTTTCACTAAGTTTCATGTGCAAATTATTATCAACAATTTGGTTTTTGACGGTGTCCATATTTTGAAAAGGAGTGATTTCGGGAAAATACAGACTTTGCTGACACCGACCTTTTGAACTTGAGTAGATTTCATTTTTTGTTTGTGTACATTCAGAGCATATGTTTTTCAAGTGTGAAATATGATTTTTTCGAAAATGTAGTATTGATTTTCATCAAAAGTAAATATTTTTCAGAGACATCCATCAAATATCATAATAGAAGAGAATGTGTATCAGTTCTGGAAGCGGTAATTTTCGGTTGATGGCTTACTCAAATCTCTGGTGTACTTCAAGGTTTTAATATTTCACCTGAAACATTCCCCTGGGGGCTCATCAGTTAGCAACCTGGCCAGGCACGCGTCGCCCCAATTCGTGTCCATCACACCAGTTATATCCGTTTCCTCCGAGCATCTCGCAACGTCTGGGGAGCTCAGATTTCGAACGCTTCCCATTAATTTAGATTACCTCCTCTGATTTACGCTTTCGCCCCTTTAGGGCAACGTTATTACACTGGGCGGTGGCGGCGCCCCCTGTAATCAGATACATCTCAGACTGTGGCAGTGCGAAAGCTGTGGTCGTAGAACCGTCTTACTGTGGGTGATTGCCATCTACGAACGGACAAAACTGTAGTTTTGCCTGCATTGCATCTCTAGGATATAAAAGCCTAACTGAGTTTATATCTACGAGCAATGATCTCTAAAAAGAACTAACCTGATGATTATATTGAATGATTTAAATGGTCAAAATTACACGGGTTTCTGATCCCAGACATTGTTTCTTCTTTAAAATCAACAGTACCGAAAGAACATTGCTTTCTTGAAACATCAAATCTAGTGATGACAAATCTGTCTTGAAATCTCCGTTATGTACAGAGATCTTCATCTATAAAAATTGTGAACATCTTAATGTTTTTGTGCCCTTCTAAGTGCACGGCCTAGCCCACAGGCGTGTTTCCACCAACAGCCACCGCAGCGTGAACAGCGGCGGGGTCGGCGTTTCGGCGCGAGCAATCTTGCGCCCGACGACGCACTGCGTGGCCGCGCGTTCATCCCGTGAAATATAGGCAGGCGGCGGCGCGGGTCGACGGCGGCCGGCCGGGACTTGTTGCACCCCGGGGGGACAAAGAGACGCTCTAATTGCAGAACTGCGTCTCCGGCAATTGTGTTCCTCTTCCTGCCCCCCCTCCCCTCCCGGCCGCTCCACGCGGATTGTCTCGAAGCGACCGTGACAAACCGCCTTCCACCCGGCAGTCGCGCTAATGGCATCCCGCCTTGAGGCGGGGCGTTAATCGCGGCGGCGCTCGCGCCATTTTGTGGCGATTGTTACGCGAAATGGCGGAATGATGGCGGCTATAGACCTGCAAGCGAGGAGTTTTGTTGGAAAGTGTTTTGCGCTTTTTGGTTCATTAGTGGTTGGGCCATTAATTCCGTATATTCCGTATCCATTAATTCCGTTACATTCTCCATGCAACGACTAGCGTGGAGAATGTAACAATTTGTGGCAGTTTGTTCTGAAAATCATTAGTACGGTGAAAGTGAAAGCGACACCGGAGTAAAGTTTGAAAATGCAAGTAAAAAATCGAGATATATTCGTTTCCTAATTGTTCTATAAACTTTTCTTATTAGTCATTTTTAAACGAATCCTATTTTCGTTCTCTTCTGTTTTCGTTCTCTCCAGAAATAATTATTTCCCGACTTTATATACGTTCGAAATATCAATTGTAGGATGAGTAAGAAGCAGCTTTCATTTCTGAAGAATTGAGATGCGTAACTGAAGAAGTGACTTCAGATCTTAGAAATAACTTCTGCCTAGGTTTCGACTGCCTGCTGGGACTGACCTCTTACATTTTAATACAACCATAGTCTACACCTTCACTTACTCGAATTCCGCTATTTGAATTTCGTTACGATGGATTCAACATTGTTACCACGACGAACATTCAACATCGTTACCTTTTCGCAATTCTCTTTTGATTCCATTAGATTCCAGGAATTAAGTGATTTTAAACATTTAGTTTCATCCCTTTCTGTCCTTGCTTATTTCTTTTAAAGATGGCATTAACAAAAATTCTAGAAATCAAATTCTGGAAATGCGTTATTAAAAAGCGGGAATCTGAAACATTTTCTTCTACAGCCACACCGCTTTACCTGAAACTTTCTCGCAACTCGCTTTCCATATTCCACGCGCGGACGCCGGAGTTGACTCTCCTCTTGATCGCGCGCGAGGGCACCGGCGCGAGGCCCTGACATGCCCTCGCCCGGCGCGGCGCTATCAGTCGCCTGATGGAGATGGATGCGCCGCTATTGATAGATGAGGGCGTGCCTCGCAGCGCGCCTCGCGGCCAGACCTGGCACCGCGCCGGCCGGTCCGTGCCGCTGCATGCGATTTCTCGCCCGTTGGCGCGTTCGAGCTACAATTCGCTCTCGCCTGTCCTCTCGTTCGTTTGTCCTTGCTGCTGTTGGACTGCGATCTGTTGTGACATTCTGGCTTGTTTGCTTCGCTTGGTGTCCCTAGCTGTCGTCGATAGTGCAGATCGTTTGTCTGCTGCATCGTCTTCAACTACCAACTCTTCCTGCTACTCTAATGCCGTCGATCAGTCGACGGATTATAAACCACAACCATGTATGTGATCATTCCGGAAAATGTAGAGATTTGCACAATTTCATAGTTATTCCTGTGCTTGAACCTCTTTTCGCCACTTACATTCCTCTGCTCGAACCTCTTTTCGCCACTTCCATTCGGCCCTTTCCGTCTCTTCTTAAAGCGTTTAGGTTTTCAAGTACTTGTAAAATCGATTTATAATCTGAACTACTTACAAACCTCTACTCTATCTCTACTATCTCCAAGCACTAATTTATTTTTCCCGACCATCCAACCACATCTACAGTCTACCCGGTGCATTCCCCGAGATCACCTATTTGCATCAACACTCTAACTTCTTGTGCTTTCAACGTCAATTGAACCTCACTGCTGCACCACCAGGTCAAACAGTTTCCATCTTCCGCCGCACCCACGGTTCGCGAAATAATTCGAACCCGCCGGTGACAAATGATTCGTCGCCTGGAGCCCGACGCCATTCCGGACAAAGCCTAGAGGCGGGCGTCACTTCAGAGATAAATGCGCATTCTTCGGCGATGCATTTCGTTCTCCGATTCGCCTCGCATTTTTCCCGTTCGTGCCTCTAAACGACCCGCTGTCAACGGCGGCAATCGTGCGTATCATCTATCGGCGCAACGCTCTGAGAGCTGAAGGCTGTGGCGGCGAAGCTTTAGGACGAAGAACGACGACAGCTTGGAAATTCGTCAGATTTCGCGCTTTCTTTCAGGGGATTTTTCTGATCCTCTTAATGTGTACGCTTGCGCCGAAACCACGTCCGAAATAGTTGCCATTATTTTCCGTCGAAAAAATGTTACATTCTATCGTTTGTGTGCGTGCGTGTGTCTGTGTTCTGCCAGATTGAAAAGTTTGACGCAATTTGTCATCCAGCTGAACGGAAGGAGACATACGACGCATTTTAAACTTGCTCTCAAAAAATGACAAATCGGGAGTCAATGCAGTGTCCGACAGCTTTCATTTGCGCTTCTGCGTAATGAGAATCGCACGAGAAGGCAGGCAACTGAGGGTAGGCGACTGGACGCCTCTGGATTTTGACGGCTTGCCTGCTTCCCCTACACGTCAGGGCAGAGTTGCATTTGACATTGAAAGATCACTTGTTCGCGGAAGTGATTTTTCGCTGTCAAAATTATAGCTGCTTAACTGCTCTTTGCGACTCCACATATTAGTGCTCTGGTTTGTTGGCTACAATATTTTTCCTTGGTATTGGTTAGCATTTCTGCGTTGATATTTTGGAGAGAGAGAAAATAGTTCTTGTAATTCCTGTGAAACTAAATCATGTTTTCTCTTCCCACCATTTCATCTGGAACTCATCAATCGTATAAAATAACTTGAAGATGAATAATGTCGAAGGCAGATTATCGAGATCTGAAGTGTAAAATATTAATTTCCAGTAATTGTGATTATTGGAGTTTTTAAATTACTTGAGAAATAAGAATACTTCATGGATAATTTTCTAGCAGTCTCATTGAAAAAATATTATTCACGACTTCTCTATCTCTGGAATTTCTGTAGTTCCTTCAGTAGAATGAACTTTCGTACTATGGATAGCAATTCTAGCCGAATGTCAGTTGCACACCACCTCCCCACCTCCTTTTTTCTCGCTCTTTATTTGTTTATATTTGTAGGCATGTTGTCGATTTAAAGGGGTAACTCGTTACTGTTGTTCATTTATATTGCCCATTTTGTAATTCCTGTGCATTGTTTGAGAAGGCAATGAAAGAGTTGTACTGACGTGGTGGTGTTGCCCTGTTTGCAGTCGCTGGTGTACCGCGACGGCGGCAACCTGGTGGCCGGATCCCTGGAGGCGCTGGTGCGCCACATGGTACCGACGGCCGAGTACTACCCGGACCGCGCCTACCTCTTCGCCTTCCTGCTGAGCTCGCGCCTCTTCATCAAGCCGCACGAGCTGTTGGGCGAGGTGTGCGCGGTGTGCGAGGCGCAGCAGAAGCTGGGCGAGCGCAGCCCTGCTGCTAAGGTGAGGAAACATTTATAACACAGGGAGGAGCAATTCAATGACGCACGATCATTCCAATATTGGGAGCATTTTTTTAAGAATTATCAGTATGTGCAATAAAACTTATTGAACTGTAAAAAAAATTGTTCATTGGGTAGAATGGAAAGTTGTTTGTGGAAACTTCGGTATATACAAGTAAAGTTTTGGTCACCGGTCAAGATGGTCGAGATCGTTAAGGCAGTAGTGCCGTAGCGATCTCGGACCGACGGATCGCGGGTTTGAGTCCCGCCTCGGGCATGGTGGAATTTCTGTTCGTTCTTTCGCCCCCCTATCAGCACCAAATCGTGTCATCTTAATATATACCATACCGTTAAATGCAATAATCGTTGCTAATGGCCTAGATGTTGATGTGACTTTAAATAACTAAAATGGTTTTGGTAACCGATAAATGAATTTATTTGAATTTTATGCCATGCAGCCATGCCTTTGTCTGTAGTAATTAATATTGATAACGAATCTCACGGAGAGTATACCGTATGTTCGTTAAGTTTTAAAAATAGTAATGAGTGTGTATGATGTTAAGTAAAATCCATGATACTAGCTGTTATTGCAGGAAAAAAGAATATGTCTAGTGATTAATTTGTTTCCGAGGGCATTTTCCAGCTTCAGAAGTTGCCTATTTCGGTTATCCACGCCGGGTACCCACTATTTCGCTCATAAGGGACACATATTATCCGCTACACTAGACACACTTGCGGGCTTCTCGTCCTTTGGTCAGGAGTCTCGCAAGGCCTTCCGTGACAACACACATACTACACGAAAGACAAAGGTCAGACAACCATGCCCATGGCAGAACTCGAACCCGCGATCCTTCAGACCGAGTCGCTGAGTCAGCACACAGTGTAGCCACTTCAGCCATCGGGTCGGCAAATGTCTACTGATACACATAAAATTTGAAATGTTAAGTGTGAGTAACAGAATGAAAATGTATATAATACGCAATGAATGGCGTTAAACACACTGCAACAAAATTGACCATTTCTTCTCCTAATTGTGGTGTTCCCTTCCCTGCCACTTCGTGTTTATGAATCATAAAAAGTCAACAAACGTGAATGTATTGATTTCTTTAACTCGTTTCCTGAACTTGCAAATATGCAAGCAAGTACATTTGATTCATAATCATTTAAACGCGTTCTTTCACTCTCTGTGTTTGTCAATTTTGCTTTATTAACTTCATATCATGCGTGTCCTGTGTCCATTACTACGTCAATAGACACACACACACACACTCACACGCACAAACATGCTCGCGTCCATATGCTCACACACGCACTCTCTCTCCCTTCTCCATCCATCTCTGTCGCACACACACATACACACACTCACAGGATACATTCGTACTCACAGAAGATACAAACAATCTGCTGTGTATTGCAGTTCCACCCCCTTCACCCCCGAGCGGTTTTCTTGCTGCTGGGTGTAACAACTGTTTCTTGCGAAGACGACTGTAACTCAGCCGCTGACCCCTGTGTCTGGCGGTCGTAAACAACCGCTCGTTCCCGCTTCGAGGCAGCGGTCTGTCGCGTTCACCTGTGAAATCGACTCTGCCTGTGGCGAAGCGCAGAAATGCTCTTCATGCTCGCTCCGGAGCGTTAGAGCCGAAAGAGCGTGTCGTTTGGGTCGACAAGGTCACCACATGTTCTATTATCTTTCGTCTCTGTTGGAACTTTCATTCGTTCCGTCTTTTCCGAGTTACTTTAATGGAAGACAGGAGAGGGAAGATATCACATACCGCTGTTCTCTTCCTGTCAACAAACACTATTCCTTCATAATGTGTCGTAATCGTAGGGCCTGCTTTCGTTTAGCGCGAATAATTTGATTTTATCTACCGATTTCACCCTGTTTTCCATGCGGTCTATAGCACGAATCACGAAGTTAAGAACATTAAAACCATCTTCCAATACTTAAGTGGTATTTTTATTATGCGGCACCTACAACGATGAATAACAATGCGGCACCTACAACGACCTGTTCAGATCAAATGTACCATAACGTGAGTTTTAGCCGAAATATTTCACAGACCACTTTGTTACTGTTCAGCCGTATGTACCCGCTTTCATATGTCTCCCATTCTTCAACAGCTCGCCCATCTCACCTTCATCATGGTATGCCCCTACCTGTTTATTCTCCCGGCGTCTCGTCGTTTCGAATCTTCCTCCGGCGAGTGGCTCTTTCCACGAGCACCTCCGAAAAGCAGGTCCCGTGCTCCTGAGCGAGCGACGCCGCGGCGGGGCCTTTCCTTGCCATCCCGCCGCCTGACCCTTAAGCTCTCGTAATTAACTTTGTCGTCCCGCCGAAATTGGATTCCGCGCGGGGCTCGCCGTTTCTGTAGCCGCACGCGGGCGCATATTCCCAGCCACGTGGCGGCGCGGCGCCCTAAGCGGCGCGCGGAGCGAGGGGCGGGGCGAGGCGGGCGGGCGGGTGGGCTTGAGAAGAGCAGGGCGGTGCGGGTGGAGTGGGGCGAGCGAGATGGGGAGGGGCAGAGTGGAGCAAGTTGAAGCGGGGCGGGGCGGAGGGAACGGGGTGGGGCGGGGACGCTTGAGCAGAGCGGGCGGTGCGGGTGGAGTGGGGCTTCGCGTCTGGGAGGGGAAAAATGGAGCTAGTTGGAGCGGGGCGGAGCGGGCGCGTATCGTGGAGCGGGGAGGAGCGGGCGAAACGGGGCGGAGCGGGGTGGAGCGAGGCGGAGTGGAGGCAGAGCAGAGCGGAGCGAGCGGGTCAGTTCGGGGTGGAGCGAATCGGAGCGGGGCGGCGCGGGCGGAGTGAGGTGGAGCAGAGGGAGCGAGCGGGTCTGTTTCGGGGTGGAGCGAGTCGGAGCGGGGCGGCGCGAAAGGCGGAGTGAGGTGGAGCAGAGCGGAGCGGAAGCGGGTCTGTTCGGGGTGGAAGCGAGTCGGAGCGGGCGGCGCAGAGGCGGAGTGAGGTGGAGCCAGCAGCGCAGAGCGGGGGCGGAGGGGGTGCGGCGTGGCGACTCGACGGCCGCGGAGTGGTGGCGGGGGGAGCGGGGAGGCACGGGGCGAGGGTAAGAGCGAGGGCGTGAAGCGAACAGCGCCTTTGGCTCTCTTTGCCCTCTTTGGTCCTCGCTCTCGGCCCCACTGCGCTCTTGTTAAAGGCTTTTCCGCGCTGGGGGTCGGGAGGCGAAAGGGTCCGAATCAATATGTAGGCGGAGTATGTGTTTTTGAAATTTGGCTAATGAGTCCATGAGTCTTTTAGAAATAAATTGCTTCATATTTGTGCGTTTTCTTTCCATTGATTTCCGAGTTTCTCTCGTTTTAAAGAGCGAGAGGGGAGTTATTTCACGGAGTTTTTTCTGCTTCGATGGCGTGTCACTGTATTACATTAATAGAGGTAGAGGTCACTTCATAATTATCTATAATAACAATCAAACCTCAAAGCAACTGTAGATAATTAACAATTCAACTGTGGATATCTTGATTAATACATTTTAAATTATTATAATTTTTACTAACACGTTTTTTAAATACTCATAACACACTATTTGTAATTACATTAAAATATTGAATACGTATTCGAATTCCAATGAAACTAAATCATACGGAATAATGTTTATATATTTGTTTATTTCACACATACATGTTTCAAATTTATTTGCAAAACATAAATTATGAAAACATTATTGTTTTTTGTTCGTGCTCTTGTTTTAAAACGATATATAATCATTGCAAAAATGAACGTTTTACATTTTAGTTTACATTAGGTTTACAATTATTGTTTTTCATAAAATTCAAGTTTGCAAGTAACACGCTTCTTGTTCGGTAATTTCTTTAGTCGGTGCAAATCGCCGCTTTGGGCAACGGGGATTTGAATGATGTGCACTGCGCCCGGGCGGGGACGTCGTTCCATTGCATACAGCCGCCTCCGCCTCCGCGCCGCGACTAGTTTGTCCGCACGCCAAGCAACTTGCGCCGCGCAGTGGGCAACGCGGGGCGCCGTCGGCCCCACCGCAGCCCCGGCCGCGCTTTGTGGTCGGATTCATCGCAGACGGCGCGGGAATGTGGTACGAACTCTCACGCCCGCCCGCCCCGCCCGTCCTGCCCTGGCCTGCTCGCCGACGCCCCGTTGCCACCCGTCTCTCTCCACCCCGCCCCGTTTCCACCCCACCCTGCCCCGCTCAGGCACCCACGTCACTAACAACGCCACCACACACCCAGCCCGCCCCGCCCCGCCACGCACGCCACGCCACGCCACGGCCAGCCCGCCACGGCCCAGCCCCGTCCCAGCCCCGCCCCGCCAGCCCCGCCCTTCTTCCACACCTCTTCGCTCGCCACGGCCAACACGCTCCACGCAGTTCTGACACGCCTCCAGCACGCTCTGCCATGGGGGTCCACCCATGCTTTGCCACGCTCCACACGCGTTCATCACCCACACGGCACGCAGCCCAGCATGCGCCTGCATCAACTCCTACTTCGCCTCACGATTCCCCGACTAAACACTACCCCCGCCTCTTCCCAGCTCACCTCAGCCTTTCACATCAACCTCGCCTCACTTCGCCATAACGCTCTCCTTCTCATTCCCCGTCCCCGCATGTCCTACCTCCCCCGCCTCACGCTTCGTCAGAGGCTTTCCCTGGCTAGTACCCCGCTATCTTCCCGCCCTTGGTTGCTGTTGGGGTTGCACGGTTTTACGGGCCAGGCACTCCACCTGCGGACCCGACCCAGCTGAGACGAGCTCTAAAGTTCCTAAACTGTTCTCAATATGTTGTGATAGAGTAGAGTTGTGACTGTGTGGTGAAATGTAAAGGTGAAGGATAGGGCAGGCAGAGGAAGGAAAGATGCGCGCGGTTTGGAGGCCCGTTGGTTAGGTTTACTGTTCCGGCATTTC